TCAGGATAGGCTCCAAAGCTACACAGAGAAACCCTGTCTCAAAAAACAAAAAAAAAAAAAAAAAAAAAAGACATACACTACCACTGTCCAGCTACAATTCAATTCAATTTCTTTAGAAAAGGAAACAATAAAATAAAGATAGAATAAGGATAAGATGTCATTGGTGACATTTCTCCCTTAGTTATAAGGTGTGTGTGTGTGTATTTATACTGACAATGGAGATTAACTACCACCACCAAGCATCCTACACATGATTTTGGAAAACTATTCCAGGGCCAAAATGTACCATCAAGTGAGGGCAAATTGCCTCTAAGTTAAAACATGAAGAGCTGGGGCTGAAGAGATGAAGTTAAGAGCATTCGCTGCTCAATCGTGACTGACATTTGGATCTCAGCACCCACGTGGGCTGCCTCACAAACACCTGTAACTCCAGCTCCTCTTCAGGCACTGCACACACATGCACACACTCACACTGACACACACACAGAGACATAAATAAAATAATGTGGGGCTGGGTGTTGGTGGCACATGCCTTTAATTCCAGCACTCGGGAGGCAGAGGCAGGCAGATCTCTGTGAGTTCGAGGCCAGCCTGGTCTCCAGAGTAAGTGCCAGGATAGGCTCCAAAGCTACACAGAGAAACCCTGTCTCGGAAAACCAGAAGAAAAAAAAATGTGAACAGTGGGAAGCAAGGTGTACCACAGTTACTCCTCTTATACCAATGACTACCAACTTCAGGCTGACACACACCAGACGCTAATCTTATTTAGTCCTCACGCCAGCTGTGTGCAGTAAATTCTATCATTGTTCTCATTTTACAGCCGAGGACACTGAGATCATAGGGGCTTGAAACTTAGAGTGGGTCTCATAGGCATGTCTCTTCAAAGTCTGGGGCCTTTTCTCACCCGGGACACACAGTGGCTTTGGCATTGAGTCTTGGCACAATCTTTACTGTGGAGCCAGGCCTCTGCTGCTTTCTGCCAGGCTTTCTTCACTGACCCCTGTGCTTCAGGACACAGCCTGCCTCCTGTTTCCATGTGCCATTGGCTTCTTATTTCAAACCCTGTGCCTCTGAGGTCCCAGTGGTGACTTAAAAGAGTTTTGGAAACACTGGTCTTTAGACAGGGCCTCCTGAGGACTGTGGCCCTGTTGGCCTGTGACACAGCCAATGAAGCCAGGAGAACCAAGTGGCAAGGCCATTAGGACTGTGAAAAGGGGGCCATCCCCCTGCAGCTCCACCTTGGGAGGCCACCCCTAGCCCAGAAGCTGAGCCATGGCACAGGCCCTGCGGGTGTGCCGGGTGCTGAAGTCACTCGAGCTAGTCGCCCAGGCAGCCTCCCAGCTCAATGTCAGCCGCAGGCTCTTAGCCCATCCATCATCCAGTCCTTAAGACATATTAAAATGGATTTAAAAAGGCATTTCACATTTTCTCTCCTTAACATCCACATTATTACCACACATCAGCTTTTGTTTTAATTAAAATCGGTTTTGAAATCCTCCATGAAACTTCAGTGGGATTGTTAAAGGCGGCAATTTCCTTATCGGCAGTGCGTCCTCACAACATACTGTAATAGTTATTTTGCAACAAAGCGCAAGTCTTATTAATTTAGCTCAATCAAATCAGCACCACGTTAATTTACAGGGCTGTAAAAATCTGCCAGTGCCGCTCTAGATCAGGGAACTTAGGGGCAGGCGGGACACCAAGTGGGATGTTTATTTTGTACAATGGTCCCTAACTGCATCTTCGTGATTTAAGAGCTTTCCAAGGCGGCCGAAGATAATATCACATGCATACAGCATTGTGTGTCTATGCCTCATTACTCCCTACAGAGTCCCAAAATCATTTGGCATTCAACTCCTGCCTAAAATATTTCCTTTTACATACAAATATTTTTCCTGCTTTAAATGGCTTCCCTATGTTAATTCTTTTTTTCTTTCCTTTTTGGCGTGGCGCTGTGAAACACGCTACTTTCCTGGGAAGATTTCTATTTTTGGTCCTGTACTGAATCTCATTGGTAGTTACTAAGTGAGTAGTGGGCTTTCCCCAGCCTCCTCCTTCTTTTCCTCCAAACAGGAATCGGGTGAAGCTCCCGAGGATGGATTGTGAATTTTCTGCCTCCTGGTTTCCTTTTACCAATGTCTTCTTCAGTAACTAGGAACATTTACTTCTCTTGTTCTCGTCTCAATAACAAAGCTGCAGAAGGCTGTTGTAATGATTTGCTAGGAGGTGCAGGCTGAGCTGCCCCTGATGGATTGGAAGGCACTGTGTGGGTTGGGAAGCTGCAGCAGGTGTTGGTAGAAATGAAGAGATGGCGGCTCGGAGAGATCATGGGACTTGCCTGGGGCCACAGGAAGGCAGAAAGAGCACTGGGTCCAGATGAGCTCAGCTCCAGCCTCCAGTTTGGTTTGTGGCAGGGTCTAAAGTAGACAAATTAATTTATAGCTGAGGATGACCTTGAACTTCTGATCCTCCTGACTCTGCCTCCAAAAATGTAGATTACAGGTGTGTACTCCCATGCCCAGTTGATGTAGTACTGAAGATCAAACCCAGGGCTTCATGCATGTTAGGCAAGTACTCTACCAACTCAGCCAGATCCCCAGCCCCAGCCTGATCTTCTCAGCCCTTCAGACTGTGGAAGACCATGAGATTAGTTGTGGTAGATAAGGGAGCTTACTGGGGAATAGGCTTAGCTTCTCAGAGTCAGTCCCTTCCTCTGCAAAACAACATCCGGATTCTCAATGTCTAACTCCAAAATGCAGAGCTAGATTGTGCCGAAAGACGAGCGGAGAGAAACTGTCACCTTGAACCTGGGGAGCTCTTCCATGTGCAGATGGCTTCCATCTGCTCCAGGACTGTGCACACCTGCTCTGGGGAGACACAAGGGCACAGAAATTTCCTGTCCTGGTGTCCTCACTAGCTGCCAGCCTCATGACAAGAACTGATTTAGGAGATTCTCACCCAGGGTTGCAGCCTCTCAGGTCAGTGAACTTGCGGCACACTGGCCACCTCTGGTCCCCTGGACTGTTCACAGGAGCCCAGGGTCTCTGCAGGAGTACACTCACTGTTGATGTGACATTGTTTCCTGAGCTCTCCCGACTCACTGTTGCTATTCTTGCCTCCCCCCAGTGGCTCTGTGTCTATTGTAAGTCTGTGACCCACACTGTCCAGTATGGGAGGAGGAGCTTCCGGTTGATCCAGCCAGCATGGTGCCTGGAAGGGAGCTTTTTATGTCATTGAGGATGTATGATTCCCAAATGCCATCACACTTTAAAAAAAAAAGCACTCTCATTTGTTTTGTGTTTCTGTGTGTTTGGACATACATGCATGTATACAGTGCACATATGGGAATCAGAGGATAACTCATGAGAGTCAGACCTCTTCTTCTATAATGTGAGTTCCAGGGATTGAACTCGGGTCTTCGGGCTTGGCAGCAAGCACCTTCCCCTGCTGAACCATCTTATTAGCCTTTAAAAAAAAAAATAGGGTTTTACTATAAAGTCCAGGCTGGCTTTGAACTCACAATCCTCCTACTTCCACCTCTTAGGTGTTGGGATTATACAGGTTTATGCTACCTTGCCTAGTGACTGTTACATCTTAAGTAATGACAACAGGGGATTCACTTTGACAGTCAAGGCCAGGCTGAATGAAGCCCTTACGGGCACCCATGCCAGTCTCTTCAGAAGAACACTGTCACTTCATTACCTATGGCCACCCATCCCATCTGATCTGCTAAATGTCACAAGGTTCCAGGGCAGCCTGGTTTCAGAGAGCCTGGCATTTGTACTAGGTACCATCTCCAGCTCACATAGGTTAGCTGAGCCAGGGAAATGGCCTCCCCTCACCTAGGGACAGGAGAAGCAGAGATGAAGGTAAGTAGGCAGATGGGGCAACCTTGACTCAGGTCTACATAGGATGGTGAGTGCTGCCCTGAGACCTCTGTGAGGCATGGAGCTTGGAACATTCCAGCAGAGGGTGCTTTCTAGGCAAATCCAAACCCTGTGGCTATGTGCTGGGAATGGCAGCTCCCCCCCCCCCTTGGGAGACAGGTATTGAGAATCTTCTGGGGGAAGTGCAAAAGGATTCCATGGCTGGTGACTGAGTCCCATTGAGAGCTTCCCCAGAGATTTAGCAATACTTGGGGTCCTATACTGTGGGCTAGTGTTGGGCTAATGCTCTGATAAGTAGCATTCTTTTGTTCTGTTTTTTTTTTTTTTTTTTTTTTTTTTTTTTTTTTTTTGTGTGTGTGTGTGTGTGTAAGGGCTAGAGTGTGTGTGAGAGAGAGAGAGAGAGAGAGAGAGAGAGAGAGAGAGAGAAAGAGTGTGTTCCATATAGCCCAGGCTGGTCTCAAACTGAAGCTGTCCTCAAAATCCCAATTCTCGTGTATGCCACCATGGCTGGCTCAGAAGACATTCTGGAAGAATGCCCAGTCCTCTGGAGCCTGCAGCCTCTGGCCACACCCTTTGTTCTCGTGAGTGAGTACCTCATGGGGACCAGCCTTTCAGGAAGCCCAGGAGGTGGTAGAGATATTCATGGAGGACAGCCTGATGCAGAGCCCTAGGCACCTCAGGGCCAGGCCCTCAGAAGAACCCATCTGGAGGCTTTAACTGACATTGAGAGAAAGAGCCCAAGCTTAGCAGTTTCCAAAATGGCTTCCCTCACCCAAAGCCTCTTGCCAGGTCATAGGGTACCCCTGTGGTAGTGATGCCCTCTGGGATGACCCAGACCACAGGCCCTCAGAGTGCTGAATGGATCACGGAAAGACGAAACCTGAGCCTCATGGAGCCCTGGACTAACCATACTGGTACAGTGAACAACTTAAACAGCTGTAGTTAGTGGCTCTGCCACATGGCCAAAGCTCCTGGTCATATTTTAGTTCTTCTGTGAGGAGACCCAAGCCTAGGCTTCCCCAAACATACAGATCACCCCCAGAGCTAAACTAAGACTCCCCCAAAGATGAAGGAAGCTGTGCTCTAACACAGACTCTCAGGGACTCACCTTTGCACACCAAGCCCACCTCCATCTCTCCTTCCCAGAGGCAACAAGGCAACAGGTCAGGCATGGGGAAAGGACCCACCTCGGAGCTTCCTTTGGCAGGCAATGCCATACCTTCCGTCTTCATACATCTCTTTGTTTGTTTGCTTGGGGGTGATTTGTTTTTCTTTGGAAAAGAGACAGAAAGCCAATGAACTTGCACACACACAAATATATATATATATATATATATATATATATATATATATGTTTAAATTTAAAAAAAAAGGAAGGCATTCTAAAAAAGAGGAACCTTCCAGTGGCAGATGGTGGATAAGTACGAATGGTAAATAGTTTTAATTACTGCATAATGTAAGTGAGACCATAAAGGAGAGACAGTGTGGGCAAGCTGCCGCCGCTGAGGCCCCAAAACTGTTGTGGGGCCCAATTTGTCTGGCATGTGCTGTTCTCAGTCTTGGGAGGGCTTTAAAGAGAACGCCGGAAATATTAATTGCCCGCCTCGCTGGCCCATCCATCTTCACAACCGAGTAACACGCTTTTTTAATTTCAGGGGAATCGTTTTCAAATGGGAATCATGCAAATGAGTATTTTAGCTATTCATTTGTTTTACTGCGAGCGCTTTGTGAGCAAATGGCCTACAGCTTGCAATGAATTAAAAGACATGGGCACCGGAGACCGATTTTTAATACAAAGTCTTGACTGGGAGACGACCCCGACCAGCGGCACAGAAAATGTTGGCATAGCAACTTTGGGCATTTTCATGCAAATTGGCTTCTATATAGATGATACGAATGCAATGTTTTCCTTCAACTAATCATCATAAAATTAGTTTCACTATATTTAAATGCCTCCACTTAATGCATTATATCCATATGCATGAAATTGCCTCCGCTAATGTAGTACATAAAATGCCAGAGATACAATGAATAGCCAAATTGCACGCGGCTATGTTATCTCCCATTAAAGTAGCTCCCCTCCCCCATCTTCTTTTTCTTTTTCCTTTTTTTTTCCTCCCGTGAGTGTGGGTGTTCTTGAATGTGTGGGTGCCAAAGACATCTATCACAAATTGCTATTAACATACTCCAAAGTCCTCTCTACACTTAAGTAACAGATTGTACCACTGTCTTAACAGAAGTCTAACAGGGGAGGGGTGGGCCTGGGGGTGCCCAACTAGACTGTCTGACCTTCCACAGGAAGGGTCTAGAATCCCAAGAGACCACGGAGCAAAGAGCGCCGAAGGAGCTACGGTAAAGAGAGTTTCAATCCAACACCACCCCCAGCCCCGCCCACTGCCTTGCTTTTAGTTGGGGGATCCTGGTAAGGGTGTGTCTGAGTGGAATCTGCAGACCCAAGATCCCATCAGAAATAATAAAGAGGGAATCCACTGTTGATGAGAACGGTCCCCAAGGTCTACCCCACGGCCTTGAGAGGCAAGAATTGGGGGGTTGGGGGGGGGGGGCAATGATCCAAACCAGTAACTGAGAAAAGGCTGTATAGAAGGAAAGAGCGCTGCTGTGACGGTCCTGACTCGGTACAGTTGTCGTGCATCAGGACACAAGAATTCAACAGGAAGGTCTCTGGCCTTGTGTGCCCTGAAGCTAAGGAACACATCCCAGGTCACAGTGCCAGGAAGTTAAAGATGGATTTTAACCTTTGCCCAATAGTTCCCAAGCAGCTCTTTGCTCTTTAACAGCTCGCCCCCTGCAGGTTGTGTGAGAGAATGGCAGGGACGAGTTCCTTTTAACTGGAACAGGAGGAGATGGCTACATGGGTCCGCATCTCCTCCGGGTAGATGGTCTTCATCTATGTATGATACCCTTGCTATGACTTCCAAGAGGACTAGGTTTCATCTGAACAGAGGACAGCTTTCCAATTTGCTGTCTGTGCCGCTATCCCCTTTGGTCCACGGAATAAATATAGCTAGGCTCCAGGGGAGGGGAGCAGAGGGGGTATCTCTGGCTTAATACAGGTGGATGGTTCACATTTAGGATGGGGCTTGTAATCACCAGATCCAAAGGTAACCCTGGGTGAATGCAAGTCCCTTTCCCAGTTAAAGAAGGGGTTGTGTCTCAGCATCTACTGTTCCTGCTCCTTAAAGAACTTAGGTTTTGCCTAGGAAGAGGTGACATCTTCACAAAAATGCATTAGAGGCTAGCTACAGGGGTGCACACCTCTGAACTCAGCACTCAGAAGGCAGAGGTAGGTGATCTCTATGAGTTTAAGGTCAACCTGGTCTACAGAGTGAGTTCAGGCCAGCCAGGGTGACAGAGAGACCCTGTTTAAAGGAAGAGAGAGAGGGTGCATTATGCCATGTATTTGGTAGCACTGTTTGGGGAGACTATGGGATCTTTAGGAGGGGGGAATCTTCCTGAAAGAAGCAAGTCCCTGGGGGCCAGCTTTGAGAGTTTATAGCCTTGCCCCACTTCAAGTTGACTTTCTGCTTCCCGTGTGTGTGATTGAGATGTGATCAGCCAGCCTCCTGCTCTGCCACCATGCCTGCCTGTTGAGTGGTATTTTGATTGTATTCTGACAAATAAAGCTTGTTTGGAGTCAGAGGGAAGAGCTAGCCACTAGCTAACCATAGAGTATTGAAAGACGGTAGAGAAAGGAAGTAGTAAGGCAGGGCAGAGAGAGGATCTAAGCCCTTTGGGATGGAGGAATGGAAGAGGCAGGAAGCAACTGGTGGCTGCTCCCTGTTCTCTGATCTTTCAGGTTCTTACCCTGATATCTGACTCCTGATTTTGTATTGATAAAGATTAATTAGATTAACCCCTCACCTGCCTGCTGTCATACCTCCCCTGCCATTAAGCTCTCTCCCTCTGGAACGCTGGGGTAAAATAACTCTTTCTTCAAATCTTCTGTAGGTTGCTTTTGGTCACGTCATGGTGACCAAAAAAGCAACAGAAAAGTAATTCATATACACACCAACAATTCCACACTTGTGTCTGCAACCAAAACAATTGAAAGCCGGTTCTGAAGATACTTATACATCTGTGTCCACAGCAGCGTGACTCATGGTAGACAAAAGTGGGGACCGCTCAGGTGCTCATTAATAGATTCAGAAATGAACAGGGGAGCAACGTGGGGTGGGTAGAGAAAGAAAGATGACAGATGAAACACCATGGAATATTACCAGGCCTTACAAAGAAATTCTGACACATCCTGCCATGCACACATCATGCTACATGAAAAGGCTGGTCATAGAAAAACAAAACTGAATGATTTCACTTCTATGCAGTACCCAGAATAATGAAATGGAGAGGGACTAGCCGTCTGATGTGAATCTTAGGGCTGAGTTGAGAGGGGAGGAGGTAGTGTTTAATGAATTCAGAGTTTCGATCTGGAAAATATGAGAAAGTTCTGGAGGTGGATTTATGGTGCTGATTGTACAACCATGTAAATTACTTAGTATCACTGAGCTGAACACTTTAAAAAGTTTCCAGGATGAATTTTGTTATGCACATTCAACTGCAACTTTGAAGGAAGGCTGGAGAAATGGATCAGGGGTTAAGAGCATTGGCTGTTCTTCCAGAAGTCCTCAGTTAAATTCCCAGAACCACATGGTGGTTCACAACCATATGTAATGAGATCTGGCGCCCTCTTCTGGACTGCAGGCATACATGCAGACAGAACACTATACATAATAAATCTTTTAAAAATTTTAAAACTTTGAAGGAGGGGTTGGCAAGATGGCTCAGCAGGTAAGGTAGGGCTTGCTGCTGAGGAACTCAGTCCAATCCCCAGGACCCACATGGTAGAAGAAGGGAACTGAGCTGGCTTCTGCAAGTTGTTCTCTGACACTGACTCTACACACACACACACACACACACACACACACACACACACAAGAGAGAGAGAGAGAGAGAGAGAGAGAGAGACAGACACACACACAAACATACATAAAATCAGTAAATAAATAAATTTAATAAAAAATGTTTTAAACTCTGAAAAGGGCATGAGGTAGGAAAGTATCTCGCTCCAGATGTCAAGTGTACCTCAGAATCCAGGGATAAACTTTCTGAGGACATTCACGAACAACAATTTTGTAATAATGACTTTCGCCGACAACACATGAAATTCTTTCCATATCATTTCTTTCCGTTGGTCTTTCCTTTCCTCTCCATACATGGGTTTTTTCCACCTGGAACTGCTTATGACTGCTGTGACTTTACCAACATTAAAGTAAGTTGGCACACCCTTGCAAATCGAATGAGTTACGCTGGGCGTTAACTAACCACAGTTGTCCTAGCCAACCCTCATCCTAAACCCTACTTCTTTAATTCCCATAGCAGTCACCAGATGGCAGGGGTTAAAGAACCCAACTGCATGGATTATGTCAAGTGCTGCCTCCTGGTGACCACAATTAGATTTGCAGGCACAGCATGTTGAGGGCAATCAGCCAGGACTCAAGGCACATCCCTATTGAAAAGCAGCCTCTTTGAGGGGCTGCAAAAGTTCCTCCAATGCTCCCCATATGCCTTATGTATGATCATTCTCCAGCCCAAGGTCACAGGTTTTAGTCCTGAGCTGAATCAACACCCTCCAATGACTTAACACGCCAAGGTGAAACCAACTATCCCAGCTCATTTTGCTTGTGTCTTTTTCCCCCCAAATTCAGCTTTTAACTAGTCCTCTCATGGAAAATATCTCATGGCTTTGTTGCTGGCACATTCTCGCCATTACAACTCATCTGCTAGCTTCTTCCACACCTGTGCCTCCTCATGCTATGACATCATTATGTCCTAGATCTGCAAAAGTATTACCTGCCTTTGTAAGAAATTCTTGTTCAATTCATAGTAGACTTAGTTTATGAGTGTTAGGAAAAGGAGGAAGGAAGGAATAGAGGGAGGCAGAGAGGAAGGGAGAGAGGGAGGGAGGGAGAGAAGGAGGGAAGGAAGGAAGGAAGGATGGAAGGAAGGAAGGAAGGAGGGAGGGAGGGAATGAGTAAGGGAGGGAGGGAAGGAGGCTGGCTGAGAACTAAGAATTGGTGTGGATTCTCTAAGGAAGCCATGCTAGCTTGGAAACTCTTATGAAGGGATGCGTTCACACGTTGTTTTGATGTCTGCCAAGCATTTGCTTAAGTCTTTCTTGTTAGCTTGTGAGCAGAGTGGGGAGATGGGGCAGGGTGAGTTCACACATGCAGACTCACAGCTGGCTAATCAACCACACGTGGAATATGGAGCCGTGACTGGAGGGGGGTTTCTGGTGAAATGGCACAGGCTCGTCTTTGTGGCTCTCTGTTCTGCTCTTAATGTCTTTCTGCACTTCCAGGCATTGACAGAAGCATCTGAGTGACAAACATCCCGACTGCAAGAGCATTTAATGGGCTACAAAAAAGATAGGCTGAGTGCAATAAGGTGACATTTAACAGACAAATGATGCCAAGTTCCCCATTTAGGTTCAAACAGCCAACTGCCGACACTTAGGACGGGGGACATTGATTTGACAGAGGTTCTTATTTAAAACCCCTGTGGCTGATTCCTAGATGTGAAGTGCAGTCGATAAGAGGACAAGTGTCAACTCAGATCCTGCATTTCAGGGTGAGGGTGGCAGTGCTCACAGACCACTGCCAGGCACCTATCAACCACCCTTGGGGGAGTGGGCTGCACCCGGAGGGAGTAGTTTCCATCCAGTGTGCTTCATATGCCTGAGTCTGCGACTACACCTGACATGGAGGTGCTGGCGGCTGATGGAGAAAATGAATGCAGGAAGCATTGGAGGGCTCAGGGGTCTCTCTTTCAATATCAGAATGATTTTCATGTATAGGAGAGAGCCACAATGCAACAGTAGTGGGGTCTCAACCCCCTTTATTCTGGAACCATGTGGAATTTGTCATAAAAGCTATTTCCTGAAGGATCCCTCCTGGGGACTCTCTACCTCTGTAACAGCAAGAGACATTCACTCTTGGGTTCCAAATCTTTCCCTACCATGCCCTGTGTTACCTGGGACAGATTATTTAATTTCTCTGGATGTTTTTTTTTTTAACTCCCAAATACAAAGGAAGCAAAGGGCTGGGGAGATATGCCAGTTGGTAAGACACTTGCTGAGCAAGCGACCCATTTGAGCTGCTGAAGTCCTCATGGGGCTTCAAGAAAGTTCTGAGGATCCTACCTTTTTCTCATTCTAACTCTACTGCTGTTTTGGCCACTGCAAGGTGAAACAAGCTCCTTAGCGTGGGTGGGGACACCTGTGTGGTGGCCATTTCACCTTCTGGGAGGCCATGGCACACTGCCCCTCCTGTCTGGATTGCCTTAGCAGTCCCTGGGCTGATGAGAAAGAAGCCTCCTACAGGGACACCAAGGACCCCTCCCAGAAGTCACACTAAAGCTTCCTCAGAAGCAGCCAGGCTCAACATCAAATTCTTTAAGTCTTTCAACAGCCTTTCTTTACACCTCACTTTCTCTTCTACACAATGAAAAGATTGAGGCAGGTAGGCACTGATGTCCCTGTTAGCAGTAATGTTAAAAAAAAAATGGATTTTAGGGCCTGGGGAGACGGCTCACAAAGTGTTTGCCACACAAGCATGAGAGCCTGAGTTTTATCAGTGCCCATATGAAAAGCCAAGCACAGTGCATACCTGTATTCCCAATGCTGAGCAGGAGGAAACAGGTGGACTCCTGAGACTCACTGGCCAGACAGTCTAGTTGAGTCAGGCAGCTCCAGATTCAGTGAGAGACCCTACCTCAAAAAACAATGTGAAGAGCTATCAAAAGAGATACTCTGGGCTAGAGAGATGGCTCAGAGTTTAAGAGCACTGACTCTTCTTCCAGAGGTCCAGAGTTCAATTCCCAGCAATCACATGGTGGCTCACAACCATCTATAATCAGATCTGGTGCCCTCTTATGGCCTGCAGGCATACATGCAGGCAGAATGTTGTATATATAATAAATAAATCTTTGTTTAAAAAAAAAAAAGGAGAGATACTCACTGATCTCAGGCTTCCACATGCATGTATACACATGTGTACATGGGCCCTACCCACAATCACACATGAACACATACACACGTACACCACACATGCACACAAATTCAAGAACACATTTTAAAGGTGACATAATTGAGGCAGAGATATGAAAACAATCTGGGGTTAGTAAACAAAGCTTATGAAATGGAACCCTCAAATAATTGTTCTTCCAATCTCAATCAAGAAACCCAAATAATCTGGCTTCTCAATTTGCTCCAGCAATTTCCCTGGACTCCTGCTGTTGATCAGTTCGGGTAGTGGTTAATGGAGTTTGGCATGCCAAACCCATTTATTTTGTTTTCTTAGAAGCAGGCCCTGTTTTGGAGATCACATCCAGGAGGTGACGGCTTTTGAAGAACTGTCAGTACAGGATGGGAGAAGTCCTCACAGAGTGTCATCACCTAAAGTCCCACAAGGACAAGAATCCCCCAAGGATGGGGAGTGTCAGGGCTTAAATCTGAAATGTTCCCTGCAGGCTCCTGTTTTGAAAAATTGGCCTCCAGCAGGTGGCGCTGTGTGAGGAGGTTTACCATTTAGGAAGTTGGGGCTAGCTAGCAGGTCACATGATTCTAATTTGTCCCGCCTTCCCATGTGCTCTCACTCTCTGCTTCTTGTCTGCTGTGGTGTGAATAGTCTCTGCCACACAATGCCTTCCTCAAGATGATGGACAGGAAACCCGGAAACAATCCCCTCCCCGTTAAGGTGACTCTGTGGGGGTAGGTATGGTACCTACGGTGATTCAGAATGACTAATACAGTGAGGATGTCCCCCATGCAAAAGGCTGCCCAGCCATCACTGAGTGTAGGTGGCCAGGACAGATATACAGTGACAATCAAACTGACTCCAGAACTGCAGGCAAGCCAGGCATGCCTTGTTCAGGGGAGCCAAGACACAGTCGGGAAATTCAGTTAGTAGTCAGAGGAGCCAGGAATCCGAACACCAGGGACAAGTTCACTTTCACCACAGAGATGATGACAGCTGATGTCACTGTCAGGAATGGACCAAGTGCCTCAGAGTGGGTCCATTTATTCAATAAACCTCTATCGAGTACCTACTGTGTGCCACAACATGGGATGTATAGACTAAAACAATAAACAAGAGCCTCCCATGTGGAATTACTTGTGAAGGAAGCAAATTAAGCCAAATTAATTAGATAACATGATGTCAGGTCCTGACAGACAAAGACCACAGAACTGAAGCAAATAAAAGGGAAAGAGAGGGATGGGAGCTAGCTTTAAGTTAAAGGGGTCAATAAACTGGTCTTAGTGACTAGTGACACTTGGAAGGTAGAGGGAGGAGGATCAGAGTTCAGGGTCATCCTCAGCTACCTAGTGAGTTTGAGGGCAGCCCTGGGCTACAAGAAAGCCTGAGCTACACAAAATCCTTTCTCATAAAAAAAAGGCCAGGTAAGGTCAAAAGGATATTATTTCAGTCTGTCCCATTAGCCTATGCTAATGCCTTCTACCCATAGTGTGTGTGTGTGTATTCGAGACACTATGTACAGAGGTCAAAGAACAGCCTTACACATTGATTCTTACCTTCCACCTTATTTGAAGCAGAGCCTCTTGTTGACAGCTACATGCACAAGCCAAGCTTCCAAGGGTTTTCAGGTCTCATTGTAGGAATCCTGGCAATACAGATGCATTTACCACTTTGGGGTTTACATGGTTTCTGGGGATCTGAACTCAGGTCTTCATGCCTGAGCAGCAAGCTCTTCACCAGCTGCACTGTCTCCCCAGACCCCTAGTGCATTTTTTGTTTGATTTTCGAGACAGGGTTTCTCTGTGTAACCCTGGCTGTCCTGGAACTTGCTCTGTAGACCAGGCTGGCCTCAAACTCACAGAGATCTGCCTGCCTCTGTCTCCTGAGCGCTGGGATTAATGACATACCCCACCACCACGTGGCACTAATGCAGTATTTTTTAAAGATCAAAAGTAATGCCCCCAAAAAGTTAGTACAAATATCAAAATTTTAGAACCAGGTATGGTGATACATACCTATGATCCCAGAACTTGGAGGATGAAGGCAAGAGAATTAGGAGTTCAAGATCATCCTTGGCTACAGTAAGTTAAAGGCCAGCCTAGGCTCCAAGAGATCCTATCTCAAAAACTCAAACCAAAACTAATAAAAAAAAAAATCTTTTGTTGCACTTTTTTATTACCTTATCTGTCATCTATCATGTTTTATTTATTTATTTATTTTGTGTGTGTGTGTGTGTGTGTGTGTGTGTGTGTGTGCATGCCTGCAACAGCTTAAGTATGGAGATCAGCAGAGTCACCATGAGTCCCAGGAAACAAACTCTGGTTGTCAGGCGTGGTGGCAGTGCCTTTACCAGCTGAGCCATCTCACCAGCCCAAAAAAAATTTGTAAGTAAGTAAAGGAAATTTGCTGCCAAATTTCCTTTTTGCCTCAGATGCCTGTCCCCAGCAAGACTGCAAAGACACTTGCTGCCAAGTGTGATAACCTGAGTTTGATCCCTGAGACCCACATGGTGGAAAGAGAAAACCACCTCCCTCAGCTTGTCCTATATGTGCACTTTGGCACATGTCTGCATACGTGCACACACCTGAGAGTGTGCACACACGCACACACACTAAATAAATAAGTGTAACCAGCCTCAAACTCTCAGAGATCTGCTTGTCTCTACTTCCCGAGTACTGGGATCCATAGTGTACACTGCAACATCGCATAAATGTAAAGTTTCTACAAAGCTAGCACAAGACAAAGAAAAGAAACTTTTATTGAAATTTTCTCATTCATTCATTCGTCATTCATTCGAATTGTGGGATTTGAAAATACTTGCAATGAAGTATTACTGGCCTCTGTCCCTTGCTCAGGGACTTTCTGCCCTTAGTAGTGACCCCTGCTGGACATAAGCCAACCTGGTCAAGCCAGACATTTGCCACATCTGGGGACTCCGGGTCTGGATGCACAGTGGACATGTGTGATTTCTAGCCCTTGGCTGTGAGGTGCTTGGATTAAAGGCCCTGGGATTCTTTTAATAAGAGAACAAGCTATAGCCATTAAAAATTTAGCCCTTCAAATTAGTAACTCCTCTCTGAGGTGCTGTATTTATTTAATCATAGTAAATTCAGGCCAAGCTCTCTCCTGGGGCTCTGGGTACCTGTCTCCATGTCCCTGAGGGGCTCAGGCTCCAGGGCCACGCTTCTCACACTTCCTTCTGCCCCGCCCCCTACCCCAGCTCACAGGGAGATAAAGCACCTTAACTTCATTACTCAGATGGCTAATTGCGAACTGATTTAATTAAAGTATTCAGATATTTCCCCAAGTTAGTTACATTTCATATCGCTCCGTTAGGAGTAATTGGCTGGAATGAGAAGTTGGGGGGAGGGAGGGAGGGAGAGAGGGAGGCTGGCCAGGTGGGCGGGGACTGGACTGGCAGCTGTGGGTCCGCAGAGGCTTGCTGACTATTTGAGGCCCCCTGAGGGGTGCCTGACCTTGTCCAAGAACGCAACACACCTGTACTTAGAAGCACACTAGGCGGGCACACACGCGCGCCCGTGTGTTTATGTGTGTGTGTGTGTGTGTGTGTGTGTGTGTGTGTACACTTGAGTGTGAACTCCAGAGGATAATCTTGTCATTCCCCAGCACTTTGTTTTTGTTGTGAGACTGGACCTTCCACTGATCTGGACTTGCCAGGTAGGCTAGCTGGCAGCTCAGTCAGCCCCAGGGATCCTTGTGTCTCTGCCTCCCCACCTCTGGGATCATTAGCACAGGCCAACACACCAGGCTGTTTTTAAAATGTGGATTCTGGGTCCTTACAGGGGAAACCCTTCACCCTTCACCAATGGCTCTGTCTCCCCAGCCCTCACGGGGCCTGTTTTAATCAGTAATCCACAAACAGCATGGGCTGAGAACCTGGGACTGAGCCTGTTCTCTTCGATACTGCTTCTGAGACCACAGCATTCCTTAATGGACAGCCATTTCTTTTTTCAATGGGATGGAATGTGACTCCACAGTAAAGCTGAGTCCCATCTTCTTTGGGGTGTGCTCACACACAGGTATTCCCTTCACTTTCTGTGCACATTCCAGCAGACTCTTACTTCCCTGTGCCTCTATGCATTCACCCAGCCTGCCAGCAGATAGAAGCAGGCCACCAGGCCCCTGCATCTCTCCCTGCTTATCTCAGTCCTGAGCACAACTGGATTTCACAGTACCTGAGAGTGGTTTTTTTTTTTTTTTTTTTTTTTGTCACCACCTAACTGTACTGTCTGCCTTCTTGTCGGACTGCTACCAAAAGTTATCCCTAATAATGGGGCCTTTCCTCCATGGCCAGAGATTTAAAACTTGGTCTCTGGTTTTTGTGCTCCCTTTTTGCCCTCAGCCTGAAGTGATACTGCCCTACTCCTACCCTGTCTTCCGTCCTGACCTACTCACTCAGCCCAGGGCCTGCACTACAAGCCCAAGACTCCATGGTGCCTGGCACTCCCCTCTCTACCTACTTCCCAAGAGAATCACCTCAAGTATAACTGCCCTAGCAGAGAGGAGATAGAAGAATCCACTCTCTTTTCCATCTGTCTGTCCTCCTGGAAAGATCTCTAAATCTCTGAGCTTACTTATCTCACCTAGAGTCAAAAGATGTTTTATAGTTCATCACTTTCAAAAGCATCTGCTGATGGGGCTAGAGAGCTGGCTCTAAGGTTAAGAGCACTAGATCCTCTTCAGGAAGACCAGGGTTCAATTCCCAGCATCCACATGGCAGATCACAACTGTCTATAACTTCAGTTCCCGGAGATCTGACATCCTTACAGAGACATACATGTAAGCAAAAACACTAATGCACATAAAATAAGAATAAATAAATAATTACAAAATTTAAAAAAATAAGCTGGGTGGTAGTGGTGCACATCTTTAATCCCAGCACTTGGGAGACAGAGGCAGGCACATCTCTGTGAGTTCGAGGTCAGCATGGTCTACAGAGCAAGCTCCAGGACAGCCAGGGCTACACAGAGAAACCCTCTTTAAAAAAAAAAAAAAGTTAAAAAAAATAAAAATAAAACCATGGGGGGAAGGAGAGATGGCTCAGAGGTTAAGACCCCTGACTGCTCTGCCAGAGGGCCTGAGTTCAATTCCCAGCAACCACATGGGGGCTCACAACCATCCGTTATGAGTGCTGGTGCCCTCTTCTGGTGTGCAGATACACATGGAAGCAGAATGTTGTATACATAATAAATAAATAAAATCTTAAAAAAAAAAAAAAAGAATCATGTGTTGGCCAGATACAGGGTCTAAGCTTTTCCGGGTTCCTGATACAGCATCCCAGATGACCCAACCCCTGCCTCAAGTATAAAGCTGACTGGAGGACAGAGAGGATGCTGGGAGACAGGGTTCTGGTTTGTACAAGACCTTGGCCAAATCTCTCCACTTCTCTAAAATTCAGTTTCTTCTGAGGGATATCAGCTTGGTGAGCTGGAGAGGAAAGGTTTGGTGTGGCTCTACTACAGATACAGAAGTTAGGAGTAGCCAGTACTACATGGTCCCTTAGCCTATCTCATTGCCTGGGTACCATTTATCCTGCCCAAATATCATCCCTCTCCATCCTTCATCTGTACCCTAGACCATCCTTCTCACTCTTGAATCAAGAACACCCAGGGGAAACCCCGGGAAAATGGTTCATGAACATCAGTCCTCTCTCTTTCTTTGCCTCTTCCATCAATCCAAAGCTAGCTTCACTCAGACAGTGCCAGGCACAGCCCCAGGCATTACATGTGCAGATAGCTATCACAGGCCCCGCCCTTCCTCCAGTGTCCACCTACCCTGTTCCTGGAGGTCCACCCTGATCCACACCCAAACCCCCAGAGCCCTTCCCAGCCCTTCAGAGTATTTACTTAAGGCTGAATTCTATATCTGGAAGTTCATTAATTTCTTTGTGTGTGGGTGCCAGGATGCGATCATTTGTGCTTATCCTCAACTAAATAAGTCAGGTCATAAGAGGTAATGCCATGGGTAGTGGAATGTAAACAAACACATTCTACCTCAATAAACATGCTAATTTCTAGCTATAATATTCACAAGTAAAAGATCCATCGTGCCGACCCTATTTGGCAAAGGCAGCGGGCCTCATCCGTCAACGAGGGAGGCTCCCGCCAGTTCTCTGCGGGAGGGAAATAGTCCAACTTTACTTGCTTGATGACGCCCTCAGGGGGAAAACATGAGGCTCATAAATGAGTCTGGAAATGTGATAAAAGGATAATCTTGCATAAATGAGCCAATGTCATCATTACCTGTGCTGTCCAAGGCCGGTCGCTAGGCTATGAGTGATGTAGTCACATTGTATATAAATTAAGGCCACAGAGTCAGGCACACCAGGCTAGCAGGAGCCCCTGGCCCTGCCATGTCCCACTGATCACCCTAGCCCCAGGGTGCCGCTCTGGTTTCCTGGGGGCCCAAGAGGGCTTCACCTCTGGCTGGGGTTGGAAGTGTTGGGGTGGAAAAGCAAATTATGAAATAAGTGTAGCCTGTGACATGGGGACATTAGAGAGTGTTGGCAGTCTGTCTTACTTCATAGAAAAACAACATGGTCTGTCAATTTACTTACTTGATAATATATATTAGTTGCCCAGTCAGTGCCTGCTCAAGGCATTGAGCTAGGTATGTTGAAAATTGGTCTAAGGGACCAAAAAGATACCTCAGTTTGTAACATGCTAGAGGGGATCATCTGAATCTATGTAAAATAAATAAAGAGATAAATTAAAAAAAAAACTTAAATCCAGACATAGTGATATACACATGTAACCCTGGTGATGGAGAAGCAGACACAGGAAGATGCCTGGGGCTCAGTGCCTACCTGAAGCACTTTAGGCCAGTGAGAGACCCTGTCTCAAAAAAACAATGGAGACAGTACCAGAGGAATGATAGCTGAGGTTGACATCTAGCCCGCCTACACACACTCACATGTGGACATGCACCCATAAATTCACACTCAGGCACACATGCACAAATACCACATGGAAACTGGCATAAAAAGAGCCTTGCTTTGAAGAATTTCCCCTCCAGGAGGCAGAAAATACCAAGGGAAAGTATGGGAACTAACTCTCAGTAACCCCCAAGTCTCTATGCCAGTCCCCACCCTGTGAATGTGATAATGTCAGGAGGTGGAACCTGTGGATGAGATCAGCTCACAAGGGTGGGGCCTCATACATGGGATCATTGCCCTTTTGAAAGATTTAGAGACAGACCCTCCCGCTCTGCCATGTAAAGGGACAGTGACAGGATACTGTCTAGAGGGAGGCAGCCCAGGCCAGATACCGAGCACCTCCAAACATGTGCAACCCTTAGCCTGTGGACCACCATATCCCAGCATGGCTGTGAATTTGACCCAATACAAAATCAAAATTTTGGGCAATTGTGTGTGTGTGTGTGCGCTCGCGCGCATGCGCATATTCCCAAGCTCAGTTCTTAAGCATGAGCTTTGTAGGTGACAACTTCATGTTGAAATATCACAAGGTTGGACACACCTGGTAGGCCTTAACTGTGGGCCTAAATCTTCAGAGCTGCTGGTGATAAATGTGTGCCATTTCCCAGTTGCTGGCCCCTTTCACCATGGCTTCCGGAGCTGAGATAGAAGGAAAAGCACCCTAGACTGAGTGGCAAGGTCAAGCCAACCAGTGGGAAAGGACAAATGTACTAAGTGTGAGGAGTGGGAAGAACTGCCCCTCTTCCTCTGTTGCACTCCACCTCAAGGCCTGCATAGAACTGGTCACTCACTCCTCTCCCCTCAGTGAGTACTGCCAGTGAGACAGAGGGACAGAGACAGAAACACAGACCTTGTGCTATATAACAGATCTTAACGCCCATCCTTGATCTTCCCTCATATCCATCCCATCATGGATGCTGGGAGGGTCCTCCCTCACCTCCATCCCATCATGGATGCTGGGAGGGTCCTCCCTCACCTCCATCCCATCATGGATGCTGGGAGGGTCCTCCCTCAGCTCCAGCCCATCATGGATGCTGGGAGGATACCACTGAAACTCCTGTAAGTATGTGTTAGCTACTAAAGCTCAAAGATACCTTTAACTGCAAAAATAACCCTTAGCTCAGTTAAAAAACACCTCATCTGGTGTTGGTAGAGGTGGGGTCTGAATGGGCCCTGGAGGTAGAATGGGTAGGGGCCTTGCGGGTGGGGCTTGCTCCTTACCATGCATCACAGGGAACATCCTGCAGGACCCCTTCTTTGTGTATGTGGGATAGGATATGTGTTTGTGTTGGGGGTGCATGTGTGTGGAGGCCAGAGGTCAACCCTGAATATCATTCCCCTTAGGCACCAGCTACCTTGGTGTTTTGTTTCATTTTGGAGTTTCTCTTACTGGCCTGAGACTCACCAAGTAGGCTAGACTGGCCTCCTCAGTCTGGGATTAGAAGCATGTGTCACTAAGCCTAGCTTGTTTTGTGCATGCTGGGGGTTGAACTCAGGCCCTCACCCTTGTACCCCACTCACTGAGCCATCTCTCCAGCCACTGCAGGAACCCTTTCCTTAGACACTCCTCTATTCAGGACATCAGGAACCCTGACAGGCCAGTGAGTGGTTTACTGTGCAGCAGCTACCCCCAGGCCAGGGACTTGGTAGCTTCCAGCAGGGAAAAGTTACTGCACCTCCAGCCTCCATGAGCAGACAAGCGAGCAAGTGTATAATTCAAGACCCGTGAAAGGGTTCACTTCTGCAGAAGAAAAGTTGAAACCCTAGCAAGGACTGAGCCAGTGTTCAATGGAAATCTTAGCCCTGGCAGAAGTCTCCACCATGAGAGTAGTGTGGGCTGAGAAATCACTGGACCCTGCCAAGCCCTCAGTAGAAGCTTGCACATTCCCAGGCAGCATGTTTCAAATACTTTCCGTGGTTTCACCCCTGGAGGGTTAGGAGAGAAGAATCTGTAGTTATGACTCTGATCTGCAAAAACAGTTTGGCTGGCAGGCAGCAGCAGACATCGCAGGGGGTGGAAAGTCTGACTCATCAGCCCCCAAGAATGTCAGGAAGAGTGTGTGGGGAGGGGTGGGAGTGCAGTGGTCACTACGTCCCCTCACCTCCCCCACCCCATCCCCTTGTGGCAACAGCCTGTGCTGTTTTCCAAACATTTCCTAATCGGTGAAGACACTTGCTGAGTACCTACTAAGTGCCATCCTGTGCATGCTGAAGATCTGGTATGGGTGATCTCAGGAACTCAACACAACAGGCATTTTTAAACATATATGTACGTATGTACGTACGTGTACGTGTGTGTGTGTGTGTGCGCGCATAGACCATAAGTCAACCTCAACCATCATTCCTCAGGCACCATTCCCCAGTTTTTTTGGTTTTGTTTTTTAATTTTAGTTTTATTTAGGTTATCTTATATGCACACGTGTTTTGCTGGCACCTATGTCTGTATATCACATGTGTGCTTGGTGCCTGAGGAGGTCAGAAGAGGGCATCAGATCCATGAGCCACCATGTGGTACTGAACTGAACACAGGTCCTTTGCAAGACCAAGTGCTCTTAACCACTGAGCCATCTGTCTCTCACTGTCACAGCAGCCAAGCTCTCACTCAGCTGGGGCTCTTGCTGCTGCCCTCCCATACACCACCACAACCCCATGTTGTCAGGGCTCAATGTCATCCAGGCCCTGCCTCTCTTACCCAGTTTGACAACCCTTTGGTACAGACATGAGCGCCCTGAAAATGAGTGGAATGGCTCAAATCCCTGAAAGTCCTGGCTGTCCCTGAATGGGTCTCAGCTCCAGCTTGGTGCCTGGGCCCTTGCCCCAGCCCCTGGCACACACACAGTAGGTATTCCACATTCAGAGGCTAGGCTGTTTGCGCTATGACTGTGTTGTGCCAAGAAACAATTCCTACAACTCCTCAGTGCTGTTTTCTCACTTAAAATGCCCATGGAGGAGCTGGAGCAATGGCTCAGCAGGTAAGGATGCAGACTGTGCTCCCAGAGAAGCAGAGTTCACATCCCAGCACCCACACTGCCCAGCTCATAATCAACCACTTGGAACCTCAGCACCAAGGAGTCTGCTGCTTGCTGTCTTCTGGACCTGTCAAACACATAAACCCATGTGCATATGCACATTCAGAAACATGTGCAAACACATATAGTTAAAAAATAATATAAATTTTTTTTCTAAAATTTTTATGCCTGTTGTGGGCTCAGCCAGTAAAGCAGTTGCCTTAGAATCATGAGAACCTGAGTTTCATACCAGGACCACATGGGGGTTAGGTTAACTTTTCCTGGGGAAACACAAAAATTAACAAATAAATGGATATAAGCTGAGCTGTGTGTGTGGTGGCCCATGCTTGTAATCCCAGCACTGAGGAGATGGAGCAGCCTGGCCAGCCAGTCTAGTCTACTTGGAGAGTTCCAAAGAGAAATGCTCTAAGTAGCTCTAAATGATGTTCTCTCTACTTGAGCTCTTTAGTAATTCGTTCATTCTCTCCCCTGTTTGAGCTCTTAGTAATTCGTACATTCTCTCCCCCGTACTGGCAGTTGATTTCCAGCATGGAATAACTGAAGCTTACTAAAAACTGCTGCCAATACCTAAAATCTAATAAAATTTCAAGTGTTAAAATTTAATTTGGTAACTTGTTAGGCATTCTGACTAAAACTTTTTATAATTGAACATACGTTTCCCCGCCCCCCATAAGTTGCTGTTTTCAACCAAACATATCTTGAAGACTGTACTATACCACAAGGTCTGTTCTACCCTTCCCCATACACAAGTATGTCACAGGTTAGCCTGTGACATTATCTGCCTTTCTAGCTGAGGCTGCTAAGTTGCTGAATAAGATTTAAAACAAATTTTAAAACAAAAATAAGATTTTTTTTAAAGTTTATATATATGAGTCTTTGCCTGAATGTATATGTGTACCAACCACATTCATGCCTGGTGCCCATGAAAGTCAGGAGAGGTGGTCAGATCCTGGAACTGGAGTTTACAGTGAGTCAGCCTGTGGGAGCTGCAGATTGAACCTGGAGCCTCTGAAAGAGCAGCCAGTGTTCTTAACTGCAGAGTCATCTCTCCAACCCCCTGAGTAGCCAGTGGGTTTTTTTGTTTGTTTATTTGTTTTGTTTTTTTGGGTTTTGGTTTTTTGGGACAGGGTTTCTCTGTGGCTTTGGAGGCTGTCCTGAACTAGCTCTTGTAGACTAGACTGTTCTCGAACACACAGAGGTCCACATGCCTCTGCCTCTCGCGTGCTGGGATTAAAGGCGTGTTTCTAAAATTTTTTTAGAAACACTGCCCAGCTTCAGCCAGTGTTCTTAATGGGTACACTATCTCTCCAGCCGTGATCTCCATAATCTGATGCTGAATGACAGGAATTGGGCACAGTGTTACATGGCTCCACTTGCATGAAACACCCAAATGGGTAAAGTCAGAGAGAGAGAGTGGGTCTGTGGTTGTCAGGTGGGAGTGGAGGACAGGAGACATGAGTAGCCTCGAAGGTAGAGCTTCCATTTAGGGTGACAGAAAGATCCTGGAGCTAGACAGTGTGATACTTGTATAACACTATGAATGTACTTAATGTCACAGTTCGTACTCTTTCAAATGAAAAATGGTAAACTTTATGTTATAAGTATTTTATCATGATTTAAAAAATGTAGTGAGGCCATTGAGGTGGCTCAGTGGGTAGGGGCACCTGTTGTCAAGCCTGAGGACCTGAGTTCAGTCCTTAGGACCCACTTGGTGGAAGGAGAGAGCTGACTTCCCAGGTTGTCCTCATGTAATCAGTGAGACACAGGCACCAACAAATAAATAAAATAATAATAAATTATTTTTATAAGAAGAAGAATATAGAATTCCTGGGGGGGGGGTGATTACTAGGCCTTGACAGAACCACAGAGAATTCTTCTAAACACTAGAAAAAAATAGTTCCTCTTTTAAAGATTTTAAAAAAATATATGTGGGCGCTGGAGAGATGGCTCAGAGGTTAAGAGCATTGATTGCTCTTCCAGAGGTCCTGAGTTCAATTCCCAGCAACCACATGGTGGCTCACAACCAACCATCTGTTATGAGATCTGGTGCCCTCTTCTGGTGTGTAGATATACATGGAAGCAGATGTATACATAATAAATAAAATTAGAAAAAAACATGCTTCAGTTTAATCCTAGCACTTGGGAGACAGAGGCAGGTGGAACCACATGGTGGCTCACAACCATCTGTAATGAGATCTGGAGATCTGGTGCCCACTTCTGGCCTGCAGGCATACATGCAGGCAGAACATTGTATACATAATAAATAAAATCTTTAAAAAAATTGCGTGTCTGTATTGGGGATGAGCATATGAGCACAAGTGGCAGCAGAGGCCAGAGGCACTGGATCCCCTAGAGCTGGAGTTAGAGGTGGTTGTCAGCCTCCCTGAATGAGTGCTGAGACCTGAACTCGGGTCCTCTACAAGAGCAGTCCTTGTTCTTAACCACTGAGCCATCACTCCAGCCTCTCATTGTCTGTCTCAATGCTTGTTTCTTCACTCAGATTTCTTGAGGTCACTGGCCCTATTGGCCTTATTACCTATATCACCATATTGAAAAATTAATTACTTTATAGTAATTATTACATAGTTTAGGCCACTTTAAAGTAAATAAT